TTCTAGGAGAGAACATTTGCAGGATGTGGGTGAGGAGGATTGGCTTTGTTTGAAAGTTATAGGATAGACTGCCTTGTATAATTTCCACCAATTTAAATTCTACATGTCACACACTATTTAAGTGATTTTATCTACTCCCAAATAAGATAGATAAAATAGATTTTATCTATTTCAAGATGCAAACTGCCATCTTTATTTTATTGCCAGATAAATCCACCTCGATAGCCCAGTAGCACCTTGACCCACCCAGCCCAATATGTCCCCAACTCCACTCATCTTTCCCGTCATGCGTGCAGATACTGAATTAACTGGTAAGTGACTAGAGTCTATTACCCCTTTCCTTTTGGGCTGTCCTGCATTTTCTGTCTGGGGTAATCGGGGCCAGGCTCTGGGCTGTGACTGCACAGCCACTCCCTAGCCGACATCCAGTGCTGGTCAGGACACACTCCCCGGGAACCAGGTTCCCTGGTCCACCTGTCTGTGGGGACGCCCATTGATGAGGTGTGATCGCCCCTGTTTCTGACGCTCAGGAGGAAGGGGGCGCCTTTCTCTAACTTAGTGTCCACAGGAGATTAGACTCAAGGCCCACTTATGGCGAACACATAGTCGGCCATTCCCCGCACCACACCCCTGGGATGTCTTCTTAAGAATCTACAGGCCCTAGGGTTCGCTCAGGACTTATGTCCCAAGTGCCTCATTTTCGAGTGCAATACCACTTGGCTGCAATACAAATTAGACAATGGGTCCCAATGGCCTGAGAATGGTTCTTTTGATTTCCTAATTCTCACTGATCTTGACAACTTTTGCTGCCGGCAGGGCAGATGGCCTGAGATCCAGTATATCTGGCTTTATTACACTCAAGGACACATCCTTTCTCTGTAACAGCTGCTCTCCCTCACAGATTTTCCTTCCTCATGCTAAGCTCCCCTGCCACCCCATCTCAAATCCTCCTCCTCCTCCACCACTTTTGATCCTGCTACCATCCCCCAATCCCCCAGACTACAGCTCCTCAGCATCAGCAGCCTGAGAGTCCGACACCCTACCCAGCGGATCCAATCGCCACCATCCTATCTCATACCTGCTCTGCAGCAAGTATTAGGCTCTCTTCCTCCCCCCACTCTGGCACTAACCTTAAAGTTCCCCCTTCCTTAGATTGCTGGCGCCAAATCTGGCTTCATGCCCAGGGATACCTGAATATTCTCTACTGACAGGCCCCTGCACTTCCAGTCCGAGCGGATGCTGTTCCTATCAGGGATCCAAAATGGAACTATCAGGAAGGGCAGACAGGTCACAGGTCTTGAGACCACATGGTTCTCTGCCTGCTAGAAGAACTGAGAAAGGCAGCCCACAAAGTAGTTAATTATTAAAAATAAGCAGAGATCACCCAGGAAAGACATGAAAATCCTGTAGTCTTCCTCTCTCGCCTTACACAGGCCATGAGAAAATATACCAACCTTGACCCTATAGGCCCAGAAGGAACTAAACCACAAAAGGGACCTTTTAAACATGACCTTTAAGGTTTTTAATAATAGAGACAAGGAGACCCAAATCCAAAAACAAAAACGAGATCAGGCCAAGACAGGCCCAGATGAAGGCCTCTCAGCCCGTAGTCACCATTCTCATAAACCCCAAATAAAGTTCCGGTCCTCCAACCAAGGGTAATTCAGGGTCTAAGCCTCCTCTAGGCCCATGCTTCAAATGCTACAGGAAAGTATACAAGACCAAGTCCTGCCCAAACCTGAGACCCTGCCTGGGTCCTGCCCAAGATGTGGGAGGAAAGGCCACTGGAAATCAGACTGTAGTCTGGTCAGACCTCAGCAAGGCCACCCTCTGGATCTGGTTTGGAGCTCCCAGACCTCCTGGGACTAGACTGAAGCTGCCCAGGCTTCAGAAGGGCCCCACAGACTTACATCACTGGGATAGAGCCTTGGTAATGATTGTGGTGGCAGGTAAGCCGATCTCCTTTTCAAGTGACACCGGGACCACTTATTCTGCCCTCTCTGAATTCGCTGGGACCCTTGTCCCCTCCTCAGTCTCTATTATGGGGGTTGATGGATTTGTCTCACAGTCATTAGCTACCTCTCCTCTACACTGCATCTTACTAAATACCCCCTTATCCACTCTTCTTGCCCAACAGGAGTGGTACATGCATCCCCTCATAAAGCCCAGTTGTCTTAAATGACAGTCACCTACTTCAGTTTCACTCTCATCCCACAAAGCCATGCCATTCCTTAGACTATAAACACCTTATCTCCTCCATGACTGTCTCCTCCTCTAAACAACAAATACTCTTTTTTCTCGGACTCAGTAGATACTCTCGCCTCTGCGTTCCCAACTTCAGTCTTATTGCAAAACTCCTCTATACCATGACATGGCAAAGAGACTCTTCACTGAGCCTTTAGATCCCAAGGCCAGCATCCTCACCCCTTTAATGCTATGAAAACTGCTCTGACCTCAGCGTCTTCTCACACTCCCCATCCCCCTTTTCCAAAGAACAACATTCTATACTGAAGAACTACAAATGCTTACTAACAGTCTGGCTAGTATCCGAAACTGAACTCATTATCACCCAAACCTTAGCATGTTATATTTAAGGAAAAATGTTGCAGCTTTAAATCCAAGCAGCTAGAGGCCTGGGAGAAGGCTGCTGGGCCTGCTCCCTCCTCCCTCTGCCTTTTCTCCAGTTTCATATGCTTATACATACTTTTCTAAAGTCTTTGGCAACTTAAAAGCTTTAGAGCATTGCTAGATTCAAAGATAAACATGTAAATATTTCAATAAGTTTTAAGTTCACCTGATTTTAATTTTTATTACAGAAAATCTATAAAATAAGTTTAGAACTGTTAATGTAATGTCTTGTACTTTATTAAAGGTATATTTCTTAAAAGTGAGAATGTTCATAAATGTCAATTTAAGAAATGCTGGTTGTTTACTCTTTTATTATCATTGAAAAATTAAGGTTTAAATATTGTATGGTTTTCATAACAGAGGGCATAAGGCATTTTTAAAGGAAAACAAAAGTGAGTTAAAGTTGTAAGAATGTTTATGAAAGTTGTAAAAAGGTTCATGAAAGTTGTAGAAGGTTTGTAGGAAAAATGTTAAAAGGAAGTTATATAATTGATATAGGCCAATAAACCAGAACAAGCAGAATAGGGAAACTGAGATAATCAAACAGCAGTCCACAGCCATCTGGTAAATCCTATCTTCCTAAACAAGGACACTTAAAAGTAAATAATTTAAGAATAAACCTCATTTTGGTATATTAGACTACAACCCTCCAAACTAATGTCTCTTTCCTTCCACCAGGTCATTTGACATAACTCTTATTGTTCTAGCTTTTGCCCCAGTATTACTAAAATATATAAAACAGTTTGTTTGCATCAGATTACAAGCCTTACTTGTACTCAGGAAAAACCACCCCTACATACCATCAAAACTTCCTTTTGTGCCCAGGCCTCATTGTCCCTCTGACCCCCACAGCAAGGACAATGGGCCAGGTCCAGGTGTAGAAACTCATCAGGGTGGAAAGCTCCAGAGGCCTAGCAAAGAACAAAACTGGGGGAAAACAAAAACCTCGCCCCCAGGGTAACCTACCCTCCCATTAGCCTTCCTGGAGAAAAATAACCCCTCTCTCATTCC